AATAATCACAAATAATTAAATTAAAACCTCCCAACTATATGTACATGAACCTTTTGAATTAGTTCAACATAAACATTATTATAAATATGATTTTATATAATTAAAACTACTCATAATAATTATTTATAAATCCCTCATAATAATAATAATAATAATTGAATAAGAGAAGAGAATAATAAAAGATAAGAAACCAAGGAAAAGAGAAAAATTGGATTTGTGTTGGAAAGAATATGTAGAACTTGCAGAGGCTATACCTCCTTTGATATAACTCCGAATTGGGTAATTCTTGAGCCTAACCTCAAGGATTTTTTGAGAGGAAAAATTTTCTTAGAAACGTCAATACCCCAAAACCTGAACAGAAGTGCCCAAAATTTGGCTGCAAAGATAAACGGGATGATTTGTGTAAAATTGAGGAGAAGAAAAGAAGAGAATTGGTGTAAAGAATGTGAGAGGTATGAAGGGGTATTTATAGTCTTTCTCATGCAAGAATTATGGCAAAAGAATGTGGGAAGAATTATGGGAAGTAGGGTTTATGGGATTACTTGGAGAAGTGAGTAAAAGAATTAAAGAAGGTTTGGATATTAAGTTGATTGTGTACACTTGAATATGGAAGGTATGTGTGTCATGAAAAATAATAAGAAAATTAGAATTACTTGGGGAATAATTAAAAAGTATGATTGGCAAGAAAATATGATGATTATATATTAAAAAGATGGAGAATTTTAATTAAGGAAAAATAAGAGATTTTGGGAGATAATTAAAAATATAATTTTTACCAATCAAATTCCCCCAAAATAATTCAATAGGGCCGAAAATATTGAGCTTACCATAGCTCAAATTTTCGAACTCCTGTTAATATATTTAGGAAGATTTTGCTCGATTTTTAAGGAATAAAATAATAGTGTAAATAATATTGAATAATTAATTAACTAAATACCAATTATTCACCAACAAAATAACTAAGAAAAATCAGATTTCCTACACATTGGAAAACCGAAATTCCTAGCTAATTATTGGGAATTTTCAGACATAGTAATTACTTAATTAAATTTAGTTTTTTCTTTAAATAAAATATCTAAAATATATAAATAATGCGATTTTTAAACAGGATAAATGGATAATAAATCTTATCCAAAATAATGATTAGTTTTCAAAATGCTTTTGGCACCAAAATTCAAATATTATTTTTTCTCCAAATAATAAATTTAGTAAAATACCCTTTTTATAAAATACTTCTTAATTAATTAATTAGAAAATACGTGTGAAAATACGGGGTATTACAGAGGTTGCCTACGTATCCGTTAGGAATCAGGCCAAACATAACTCTAGTCGAACCTTGCACAAGTGTGTGTATTCCTCAAGGAGGTCTTTTAAAGGTTGTAACGTGGTAAGGCTAAAGGTTGAAGAAGAAAGGGGATAAAGGCTCAAGACTCTAGATAGGTCCCCAAGGTTTGTAACTTTGCTTTTGAATCTTTGTATTTGTATGTTTGATATTTCCTTACTTTTTAACTCTATTGTTTATTATTTTTGCTCTCTTGTTTCTTTTTGCTTTTGCATTTTTTTATTTGAATCCTTTTTTGATAAGTGTGGGCAATCCCGATCATGCGGTCTATCACTCACTTGGAATTCATGTTTCTCAGGCATGGTATCGAGCACTCGATAAGAGATGCAATCTGAGATGTGTTCATATCAAATACATGTTCATATTAATGACATTTGAACACTTGCCCTTTTTGCACACTTTTATTATTTTTTGGTTTTTTGAATTTTTGAGATCCAGGTAAAATTACTTATATTTTTGTATTTAGAACTTGCATAAGTTGCACACTATCCCATCCTAAGGTTAGGTAGATGTGGGTTGAAAAAAGAAAGGTTTATCGTTAGACGAGGCTCAAAGTGTTTTATCAGAAAAGGATTGTATATTCCAAAGGGGTAAAGGTGATAAGATATGGGTACAAGGGGTGCCTTAAATCATCAATATACCTTTTTCTTAGTTCAACGTGGATTTGTTTATATATATATATATATATATATATATATATATATATATATATATATATATATATATATATATATATATATGAATGCAGTGCAATGCAATGATCATATGCAAGAAAAAATGCTCATTTTATTAAAATGGAAAATGATAAACAACAAAATCTTAATAAATCAAATGAGTAAGATGAGGAATGCCTATGCTAAACTTATGGGGGAAAGGAGGAAAAAAGTAGAAAAAGAGGTCACAAAATCTTATCGCTAAAGCTTGCCTTGCGTGATGTGTTCTATCATCATTCAGTCTTCTTGCCAACTAGAGGTATGTGAAGGTTGTTAATATCGATCAAATATTGGATGACCTCTTTTAGCTTCCAACAACTCTCGGTAGTATGACCCTTACCTTGATGGTACTTGAAATGAGCGTTAGAATCCCAATTGGGTGATCTCTTTTCGGGTGCTTGATTGAAAGCAGTATCGTAGTTTATCCCAATAGGGGTGAACTTTTTCCTTAGTTGCTTCTTAGGTCTTCGGTTATCCATGGCTAAGACTTCGTTAAGGTCAAAGGTACTAACATTATTACTAGAGTAGGTGTTTTTGGAAGAAGGATTATCATTCTTGTTTCCTTTCCAGCCACTATTGTAACTATGGTTAGTAGCTTTCTTAGCTTAACATTCAACAAAATTAAGTTTACAAATATATGATTAGGAATTTTTGGATTTTAACACTAGAAAAAAGACTGGAAATGGTTTTTTTACACCTCCAAAAAGAAAAATTTACATTTAACACCAAATTTTTTTTAAAAAAATTGGATTTTACCTCCACTTAATGGTCTCCGTCCAAAAAATCTGTAATGTGGGGTTCACCGTGACATGTGTCACCATTTATTGGTTTGAAAAAAATAAAAAATAAAAAAAAATTCCTAAATCCCCCCCTTCACCCGACCCACCTGAACCCTCCCCCTCCCTTTCTCGCAGCCCTAAACCGCCCAAAAAACCACCTATCCGCAACCCTCCGTCCCTAAAAATGGCCATGAATTTGACCACTTATGGCTTAAATCGACCGGTTTTGGGGTTGAGTGGCCTTAACCGGCTGATTTCGGCCATTAATGGCCGAATTCGTGGCCGTTTTTGGGGAAGGACGGCTACGGTTATGTGATTATTTGATTAACATTCAACAAAATTAAGTTTACAAATATTTGATTATGTATTGGATAGAAATACATTTATTGAATATTCAACTAAATAGTGAATAGTTTTGCAGTATATTTCTGCCTAAAGAGATTGTGATTTGTGTGTTGCATACTCAACATGTATTGTAGCATTTATCCAACCATAGACTCCTAGGATGCAACTATGCTTTTCAACCCCTAGGACTTGAATGGTGTCAAAGGTCCGTTCTTCAGCAACAAGGTGCATTCAATTTCTGGTTTTTCCGTCTCCTAACAATTTCCATCATGAATTTCTTGTGGTGTCAATGCCAGTTTCGGTTCTCTTCAATAATTATGTCCTGCGCTCTTGGTCCATCTCGACTATTTCAGTTAATTTGACATCTCTTGGTCCACAGTATGGATGTGGTATGATCCCCTTTGGTATGCTGCAAGACTTTTTCGGTATATTGTTCTCTTCGTTCTTCCTTTAATGGTAAGTAGTAAGGCCTATATGAGGGTTTGTTTAGACGTGTTGCTTAGCTCTCTTAGGTTGTAATTCTTCTTTTATTTATGAAATTCTCTTTGTCAGGAAAAAAAAAACTAGTTTTTAAATCTTTTTTTTTTCTTTTTTTGAAAGAATGAACCAAATAACTTTATTCATTGATTATTTTTTAAAGAAGATTTTGTAAGAAACCATCTTTTAAATCCTTTTTTACAAATGACGATTGAATAATTAATACTGAAAGCTCAGTTTCCTACAAGTAGGTGGTGAATTAAAACAAAATACTTACATTGGGTGATTTTTTATAACTTTTTTTTTAATTGCGGGTTTTTTTTACAAAAAACAAAGATTAAAAACCTATCCAAAAAAGAAAAAAAAAGATTTAAAAGCTAGTTTTTGGAAAAAAAATAGGAAAAATTGCCATGATTAATCTCAACTTTGCTCCGTCTGCCAATATTAATTCCAACTTCCGTTTATTTTTTTATTAATCCCAACTTTATAACATATCCGCCAAAAACACCCCCAAGTAACTTGCAATCGGCTAAGCAGGTTAACATTTGTGAGTTGGATATTTTTTGCACATGTGTCAACACGTGATTGGTCAATAATTTTTTTTTAAAAAAATTAACCAAAATTTTTTAAAAAAACAAATAATAAAAATTAACAGCCACCCCAAAATGGTAGCCACCATAAAAGGCAGCCAGAACAGGGATAGGATGGGAGTGGGTGGCCGGATTCGCGGAGAGAGTAAGGAGTGGTGGCCGGATTCAGGAAGAGAGTAAGAATGGTGGCCGGATTCGAGGAGAGAGAAAGAGTGGTGGCTAGGAGTGAGTGGCCGGAATCAAGGAAGGGAAGGGAGGGAGTGGCTGGAATCAGGGAAGGGAGGGAGTGGCTGGAATCGGGGAAGGGTAGGGAGGGAGGGAATGGTCAGATTTGAGCTATGGTCGTCGGAATCAAGGGAGGGGAAGGTTTTGGTTGCCGGAATCGAGGGAGGAGAAGGTTTTGATTGCCGGAATCGGGGGAGGGGAAGGTTGTGGTGACCGGATCCAGTGGGAAAGAGGGCGGAAACGGAGGGGCTTGTCGGAGTTGGACAGGCTGCCGCCTGCTAGTTTTTTTTTTAATTTTCTTAAAAAAATTTTTTTGGACTAATCACGTGCTGACACGTGTCTGGTAACTTGCTATATCAAGTTGGATAAGCGGTTGGAAATAAACGAAAGTTGAGATTAATATTGATGAACGGAGTGGGATTAATCATGGCAATTTTTTTCAAAAAAAAAAAAATTTATTAACTTTTTAGATTTTCTTTTAAGACAAATTGCAAATAATCACCCTTTAAAACACCCTATTTAGAACCAACCAGTCAACCACCCCTTGAAACACTCACAATCATTAGACTTGTTTTTGGAGTTTTAAATTGCAACTGTACAAGTGATAGTGAACCAAAAGGTGAGCAGTGAGAGTACACTATGCGGACGATACTCCTAGCACGTCTCCATTCCCACAACCAGAACCCACCATTTTCGCCCTCTCCTTAAACCTCCCTTAACTCCCTCCTCTTTCTCTCTCCTCTTTCCGAATGTTGTCCTAATCACTGCTCAGATCAATTCATCATTCATCTTTCTTCAATTTCAATCCAAAATGCGGTTCGTCAAATCATTGCATGTATTCAAATCAAATGATTTCGGTTTCAAGAATTTCATCTTTTCATCATCATTTTTCAAGAGTAATTTCAATTTAGGGTTAGGGATTAATGGTAGTAGTAGGAGTATTGTGACTAGCTGTAGAGCAGTGCTTTTGCCTCATTTTGGCGGTCCTCAAGTTCTTGAGCTTCGTGATGATGTTGATGTTCCTGATCTTAAGCCTAATCAGGTCCTTGTTCGTGCTCGTGCCGTCTCCATTAATCCTCTCGATCTTCGGGTTCGTCTCTCGCTTTCTTTAACTGTTATAGAATCAAGCCGATTGAATTTTTTAAAATTTTTTTAATGATTTTTTTTGTTATTATGAAATGCCAAAAATGTCATTTTCTTGGGTAATGAGCAATGTATAGATGAAATTTGTTATTTTTTATTTATGTTACTCCTTACTTGAAACAAAATTGTGTTTGCAAATTTAGTGTGTAATTTAAATCTTGATGTATCATTCATGTAACTATGTAAGGGTGATGATTATTTTGGGATGTTGGATTGAATGTGAATTCTGTATTAGACAAGTGCGTTTTCGTGGCAGCTCATGTTGTTGGCCATGTTGGGTGGTTGAAGGATTGGATATTTTTCCTCTTACATGAATGATTACAAGAAATCATTTGGAAGGTTCATTGAATTTCTAGTTTGCTGCTATCTAGCATGATCGTTTTCTAATCAGGGGATGAATTCGACCTTGGGAAACAAAATGGAATCTCATTAGGCATGCATGGGGAGAGGGAGGGGCGTGCATGGGGAGAAGGAGGGGGGATCACAAAATGTCGAAAGTTGAGATAACGATATAAGAATAATACTCCCCCGTCTTCAAATGATCTTCTTGCTAGGTTTGGACACACATGTTAAAGTGTCAAGTTATAGGAAGATTATTTGTGGACATCCTAAAAAGTAATAGAGGAAGGTTATATGTGGATAGAGGGAGTACATAGATAATTGAGAACTTCTAATGAGTATATGGAGAGGAACAAATTAATAATAATAGATAATCCACCAATGACTCCAAGTCTTTGAGTCGTAGGTTGAGGGACATCTATTTTCATTGTGGATAATAAGAGATGGAGAGCTATCACCTTCGTTTCTTAATTTGTAACATCTATACCTTCTAACTTGATTTGGCTAACCTGAATTTGAACATATTTACTATAAACATGAGAAAATTTTGGATCTTTGAAGAAGCTGGATCATACATGTTGTCTTAATACATTTAGTGATTTTATGTTGTGAAACATAAATTTCTTTAGAACATGACCTCTGTTGATGACCTGATGATGTCCTAATATTTCTAACACTTTTTGTTGCCGTATACTGAGGATCGTGGAACACCACCTTGGTTAATTAGGAGTGTCTGACCTGCCGTTGTCCCAACTCTTTGTTTCTTTCATAATGTTAGAAAAATTTGTACTCTAATTACTTTGGCATGGATATTGCTGCATGAATGCTGGAAGCATATAAGTATTTCCAATCACATTTCCATGATAAATCTTCCTTCATAAGTGGTTATTTTTTTTTATTCTATACATCCTTCGTTTCATATTAGATGACACATTTCATTTAGGCATGTTTTCCAATGCATACTTTCTAATGCAATTATCCTTGATTACATATTAGCAAAAGATTTGTCACATCAGACCTTTTAAAAGACACTTTTTGTCAAGTAAGTAGTTTCTTATATCTTGAAAGATTAGAGAAGAACTAGTCGAAAGAAGTGAGATCTAAGATCAGAAAGAGTTAACTTTAAGAGAGGCAAAAGAAAAGGCCTTTACCTCGTGAATCAGACTAGGTTTATCTCAGATGCGGGATTACCAATTCTACCTTTAGAACTCAGAAATGGCTACTCGTACAGGAAGTCCTAAAAGAGAGGCACACTTTCTTTTCTAACAAACCTCTTTACGTTGCTCTCCCGCCTTAACTAAATAGGCTCGCTACTGTATGCTGCTTCTTCTGCTCTCCTTTATCTTCCATACCCGGCATAGCTTCATTTGATCTACAGCAGGTTTATCATCCTTCTGCACCTGAGACCTGTCTCAGAGAATAGCAGCACCGGACTGTGCACGATAGCAAAAGGGTTTAAGGGATTAGATTACTTATTTTTGCTTTTCTCCTTTATATTTATATAGGATATTTAGTGAACCAATCTAGTCCAATCCCATCTGGTTCTAGATATTCTGGAGGTGGAGCTTGTTGAGGAGGGAGGAGCTTCACAAGATGATGTGATGGGTGAGTCCAATTCACGTGGCTTAGCCTAGTCTCTGCAAAGTAGCAAACAAAGCCCACTCTGCCCAATATCAAGCAAAGGTCATGTCTAAGACGAAAGACCATCTCTAAAGTAGATCCGGGCCCAAAAAAGCAGCCCCCAATCGTTTGGCTCAGGATTTCTTTTCCAAGTTAGATGGCTGCATTTTTACTTGTTTTCTCAATCAAGCATTCCTGTGCTTAGCAAAGAGGTGGTGAAGTCTGTCGTGGTGGGCGAGCCTAAATTGTGCCTATCAAAGGCCTATGACGCCTTTGTTGAATTAGCCGATGCTTCTGGCTATGCACTGCCGATAATGCCCTTAGCCAAAGGCCTAGTTCCGGATTCGGACACTCATTCTAATTATACCTATTGTCAAAGCTCAAAGCAGAGAGTTATGTGCTGTGTTGCATTCAAGGGAAGTTCAATTTGCATTATGTGAACTGTTTGTATTTTGTTACTTGTGAAACGTTGCGTTGAACAACAACCTTTTGATTTTTTTTGGCAAAGTCAGACCTTAGTAAAAAAAAAAAAAAAACAAAAAATTGTACAAACTAACATTACTCAACTTTCGTGCTTTAATTGACAAATTTTCGGTGTTGACTCGCTTGTGTAGGGCATGTGACTCTTACTTTCCTTATTGCACCCCTTTTTACCTCGAATTTTGTAACATATAAAATTCAAGTCTCTTTGGAATCTTGGTCTCAATAGGGAAAATAGGAGTGAAATGGAGGTGCAATTAGGGAAAATAGGAGTCACGTGCCCTATACAAGTGAGTCAACGTTGGAAATTTGCTACGCGTGTAAGTTGATCAAGGTTGTTTCTAACATAAAAAAATTGTTTATTAAGGTCAAACTTTGCTAAAAATTAATCTAAAAGGTTGTTTTTGACAAAAAGTGTCTTTTTAAAGGTCGGATCCGACAAATATTCCTATTTAAAAAAATAGATGTTGAGACAAATGTAACAAGACCCCACATGACTATATTTGTTCTTAACACGAAATCACACAACAAAGTCAAAGCAAGTTTTGTGAATAGTGCACAAGGTCAAACATTGTCATCTAATTTGGAACGGAGGAAGTATTTTTTGTAAAGTGACTTTTCTTATTAGTATTTTTTTAATCAGTTAAATGTGTGCTGGACTGCTGGTTACTTCATCAATTGCTATACTGTTTTGTATAATTTATTGTCCAATAGATTTGAATTTATTCACTTAAATGTTATAATTGCTTATAACCTCATATGAAATCTACTTAATCAATTAAACCCATATCCATCACCTATTTATCCTTGTTTGTTGTGCAAGCTTAGGTTAAGGACGGTGATTTTTTTTCTCTTTGATAAAAAAAGTATTTCATTTAAATGTGCCACTAGGTGCTTTAAGACTTTGGCTTTGTTTCTGTCATTAAATACTATTAACTTTGTAGCTCCATTCCTTATTATAGTATGCATCTATCAATACAGGATGCCCTGTCTTGCAGTATACTTACCACATCTACTTAGTTTTTTCTCACTGCTTTTGAAAATCTTTGCTGAAAATTCTATTCTGAAGCTTTAATTCTATTACTTATAATAAAGCCGATTCCCTTAAGTGTCTATCTATGACCTAGCACCAATGAATCAGATCGATGTAATAGTTGACTAATTTCTGATTTAGGGGATTTAGAGAAATCTTTGGCTCTATGCACTTTTTTATTGGCAGTCTAATCGTACGCTGGTGTTGATTATAACATATTTAAGAATTTAATTTGTATTTTGTCTAGAACCTTTATTGAAGAAGATTTTAAATATACCTGTTGTGCCTTGATCATTAAGTTTTATATTATTCCCTCCATCTCAATTTAAGGTGACTTATCATGACTCATAATTTTAGAAAAATAGTAATTTGGATTTCATATTTTTTTTATTTTAATAAGATGGTAGCCGTGATGATTTATATTGGGGTACTTACTTAAAAAAGTAGAGAGGGGGTGGGACCCTAACTTTTAGCTGTGAGAAGAGAGAGATAAAAAAAATAGTTGGTCATTGCTAATTTAGATATTGACAAAGTAAATTGGGATGGATAAAAAGGAAAGTGAACAAACTAAATTGAGATAAAGTTGATCGTTGCAAATCTGGACTAATTAGTCAGGTGAAGTATCTATATTGGGTTTGCTATGAAGTTAGACAGAATAGTTAAACTACTATGTTTTTCTTGTGTTGTAACAAAAACTTTAATTTTCTAGTCATTCTTATTAGACTTTGCATGTGAGGAACCTTATGGTTCATAAGATCCTAATTTAGAGTTTTTTTTGTGGCTAATACTTCTAGATGCGAGAAGGCTACGGTCGATCAGTGTTTGAGCCTCTACTTCCCCTCATTCTAGGTCGTGATGTTAGTGGAGAAGTTGCTGCAGTTGGAAGTTCAGTTCGATCAGTTAGTGTAGGTGAAGAGGTTTTTGGGGCATTGCATCCAACAGCCCTCAGGGGTACATATGCTGACTATTCCATCTTTCCGGCCGAAGAAATTGCAAAAAAACCAGCTGCCATGAGCCATGTGGTAAGTCATGAAGAGTTAAAGTCTTGGGTCAGTATTGTGGTAAAAACCTTGGGTCTTTCTTCACAAATTTTTATTTATTCTTTCCGATTGCTTATCACATTTTTGGTAAAGAAAAATTTAACATTGTTTCTAGCTCCTCCTTACCCCCGTTCTTCTGATAATCGTTATTGAGGTGAATAGGTTGTCTTCTGGATCTGATGAGGTCAAGCTTCCATTGTGGAAATTATTTTTCGGATGTCATTTCCTGTTTCTATATTGTACAGGATGCTTGTGCGATTCCCTTTGCTGCACTTACTGCATGGCGTGCTCTTAAAAGTACTGCTAGAATTACGTCAGGGTAAGTACTCCAATTTACTTCTTATATCTGCTGAAGAAAGTTGTCTCTTTGGTCATGCGTATAATATGTTATCAGTTGCAACATGCTAAAATACTGCAGCAAATTTTTTTTTTCTTCTCCTTGATGTCATTCATGTACTTTCTTCTCTCTGTTCTTTGAATTTGTTGTTTATATTAATGTTTTAGTTGGAATGCTTGCTTAGATTGATGCAACCTTCTGCTTCCTGCACTGCATAAGTTTTCATACATAATATTTCTGCAGGCAAAGAGTGTTAATAATTGGTGGTGGAGGAGCAGTTGGTTATTCTGCAATCCAGCTATCAGTTGCAGCTGGTTGCCATGTAACGACAACTGTTGGTGGGGAGAGTATTGAACGCGTTTTGGCTGTTGGTGCTGAGAAGGCGGTTGACTATACCACTGAGGTAGGAAGTCTGTTTTAAAAGTTATTATCTGGCACATGCTAAACTTCTATTTATTTATAATTGAAAACCTTATATCAATTATGTGATTTCTTCACTTGCAGGATTGTGAATTAGCAATTAAAGGGCACTTTGATGCTGTTTTGGATACTATTGGTATACCTGAGACTGAAAGACTAGGTGTAAATCTTCTGAGGAAAGGTGGATATTACATGACTTTGCAGGTGGAGTTTCAGAGCTTGTTTGCACTTACGGACACTTGCTCATTCTCTTTTAGTTTTGTTGAGTGAAAGTCTTGCTTCCTTGTGATGTAGGGAGAGGCAGCATCCTTGTCTGATCACTATGGTTTGGCTATTGGTCTTCCTATGGCTTCAGCCCTTTTGCTGAAAAAACTAATGATGTATCGGTACTCACATGGAATAGGTATGTTGTCATCTAAGAAATTTAGTTGCACACTTGCACATGTACCAGCTTTTTATAAAATTATATTTCCTCCGTTTATTTGTTACAAACATCATATTAGCCTTTTGCACTATTCATATACTCCCTCCGTCTCTGAATAATTGAGACGTTGGACTTTTTTACACTATATATATACTAACTTTGACTAAATTTTTTTACTAACATAATAAAGACATTTTTTTTGTAAAAAATGTTGTTGGATAGGTATTAATATTAAGTTCCATTCTATAACTTTTATTATAATTTTCATTAATATTTGATTATTTAAAAATAAGGTCAAACTAATGCATCGGCATGTATGCAAAGGTTGATTGTGTTAGTTATGGGACAAAGGGAGTATTAGTTTTGACTACATTTTCCCTAAAAATATATATATATATATTTTTATTTTTTTTTACCACATTTGCTTACTAATATATTAAAAACTGATGCTATTATAATATTATGTCATATGTTAATGTATACTTTCAAAACTTTAAAATATGGTTATAGGTGAAGAAGTATATATTTTTTTTTAAATTTATGATTAGTATGAATATTTAAATTGATGGTCAAAGTTGTGCATTGACAAGCATGAAAGACACGTGTATTAGAAAACAAAGAAATTGTAACAAGTAAAGTTCCCGATATTAGTTTGTCTAATTTTTGTTGTCCTTGTATTGGTGTCCAAAATATCTAATACAACCATTGCCATTTTGATGGGGTATGACCTTGGTGCAAATATACAGCCACATTGATTCTGTTGGGCCAAGCGTATAGAATTTTTTAGTGACTGAATCGAAACCGTCCACCTCAGTACGCTTTTTTCAAAAACCTTTGTTCAAATCAAACTTTCTATCCTCAAACCACCCAGCATTGAACGTTACATCCCTTGATCACTCAAAATTACTTAAAAATACGATTGTAGGTTCCCCAATGGCTTTAAGCCTCTAATAGTCTGCTCTAACTATTCTAATAGCTTACATCTATTAAAAGACAACTGCGACACGATCTGTGAGCAACATATCATTTTGAACTAGACTGTTCTCGCGACCAAAACCATATTTTTGAACCATGGGTACGATCAAACCAATCAAGAAAATTAAAATTCTTTTATACCTCTCCTCTACACCCCCTCCTTTTTAGGGGTTGTGTGATATTTTCACCAATTGTTAGTACTTGGGTATGAATGGTATCTTAAAATAATATATGCACTTTCCACTACTCCAGGGCTCCAGGCAAGTGCCTATGACTAAGTCAATATGCAAAATGGACTTTAACATATGGTAGTTGTGGTTAGATCATATTTGTGTAGGTTGAGATAGTTTGACCATCATAACTTTATTGGATCCATTAACATCAAGGAACTGACTGGCAGAATTGCACGGCCATTCTTTTTCTTTTTCCACTTTGATGCAAGACTGCAAGTTCAGATTTTCCTTGGGATTTGATTCTAAAATTTAGGTCTTCATTTATATTTGGAAAAATAAAAAAGAATAATCCCACCTTTGCTCGGTCTTCCGAAAACAATCCCACCTTTAATTATTCCAGAAATAATCCCACCTTTAACACCAATCTTCTTTTAACAAGCCATGATCGGTTTTGTTAGGTTGGCAACCGGTTAGAGAAGGTTACTTGACAGGTGTCGCCTTCTAATTGGTTGTTTTGGATAATAAAGAAAAAAAAAAAAAAAACTTCCACCCTTCCCTTCCACTTTCCGTTCCTCTATCCTCACCGGAGCTAGCCTCCCCACAAGGCAATAACCCCCCTCCAGCTGGAGCCGACCCCACCCCTTCCCCGCCGGCCTGACAGCCCTACTCCAATCCCTTTCCCTTTCCTCTATTCACCGAAACAATCTCACCCCTTTTCCTTCTCTGTTTCTCCATTGAAGTGTACTCTAAGTTCTCCATCAAAGCAGCCTGTGACCTTTGTCTCTCCCATTAAAGCAACTTCTAAGGTGTTATATATTTTTTTTATTTTTTTCAATTATTAAGGGGTTTATTGTCAATTTAATTGGTGATTTGTATTAATTTAATCTTTGTTAATTGATGTTGTTGGACGACGACAATGGTGGTGACTACGAACTTTAACCCTTCTTCCTCTTATAATTCCTCCTCCATTTCCTTTTAATTTTACTTAATTTTATTTTTCTTGATAAATACATTTTTTTTTTGTGTGCAACTGGTTTCATATTTCAATCTTCTTCATAGTGGAAATTTGGAGCATGTGTCTTATCTTTTGGTTGTTGGGAAACAATGGATGTTGTTGCTTGAAAGGAGGTGATCAGTTGCAGGTGGGGTCATGGAAAATTTAGGCTAGCATTGGTTAAAGGAGGGATGGTGGTTTTGGGGAGGTCGTGACGTAGTGTCGGGGGCAAGGAAGCGGGGAAGGGGGTGGGTTTGTTTTGGTTGGCCAATGGTTTTTTTAAGGGTGGCAAAATTGGCAATGGTGGGGGTGGCAGTGGCAGTGATAGTGATAATGGGGTGGAGATTTTGGAGAGGAGAAATATTTTTTTTAAAAAAAATTATACTATTTAACCTGTAAAATAGGTAACGTGTCAAAAGGCTTGTTAAAAGAAGATTGGTGTTAAAGGTGGGATTGTTTTCGGAAGACCGAGCAAAGGTGGGATTATTCTTTTCCATTTTTCCTTTATATTTCTACTCAAATCTTTCTGTGTGATTTGGAGAATATGTCAATTGTCAATACTGATATTGCTTGTAGTTGTGTCTTGTGTGTGAAATCCTTTATATGGGCTACAAACTCATGGATCAATTTGGGTAACTGACTGGAGTTTGCTACTCCATCTGAACTGCCCTTATGAACTAGCCACAATCTGTAACCTATGATAGGTATAATTTATGATTAATACTCTTAAGAGAATTCTGCTGAGAATGAGTGATGGAGAAGGAAGGATATCAAGTACTTTAAAACAATTTGTTGCCCTTGACTATAGAGGGGTTGGATGATGTGATAGAATCCTCATACAAGATAATGCTAATTATAAAATTGTTTAAAGCTATGGTTCCCCATGCTCCAAGTCCAAAGTGTTACCATCATTAACAGAGTTATACTAGTAAAATTCTTTCAAACATTAGCGATTAATGTCAGTTATCTTCTTGTTATACGACAAATGTGAGCTTCTTTTCTTGTTACTTTTTAGTCTTGGGCTATGCTTTCCATGCTTGGGACTTTTAATGATTATCGGGATTTGTCTATGATCTGGAGGGTAACTTAGAAGGATAAAAACTTTGTTTGAGGCATGGGTTTTTGGGACCTGTCAGTCTTGGCAAGTTGCAGTTGTTACAGAACTAAAGTCATTTATTTTTCATAGGTGAAAAGAGAATCTTTGTCACATGTGTGATGAAAAGAGTAAAGGGTTTGTTTGATTTGAATATGGCAGTAAAGGTTTTGTTTGATTTGAATATGGCCTTGTAACATGGATGAGGAATTGTTGATCCAATTGGCTTCCCAAAAGGGCAGACAATGTTTGTCATTGATTTTCATGTCCTTCATTAAAAGATTTGCTTTGTAAAGAGTTGGAGTAAGCATTTCAGCCTTGTATAACGAGCTGAGATTTTAGCCAAATTGTCTCCAGTTTCTGACTGTGGTGGCTCTAGCTTTTAGGTGTTTATTTGTTTCTGACCTTAAACAGAGGGTTTTTTCCGGTATTCCAGCTGGGTCATGATAGGTATTTATACGCCTACTAGATAATTCCCAAGCCATGCTCGGTTTTAAAAGTTAATGGTGATTGAAATTCAAATGTAGAAGCGTCTAGAAAAATGTAACTCAAAAAGTTTATTATTCATAAATTTAATTATAAAGTTCTTAGGCAAATTCTACAAAAAACAATAGAAAGAAAAGAGACGAAAGATACGTAGAGTTTAGGAGGGAAAATTCCCTCCAAAAAACACTTCGCTTTAGTATAGGTATATAGATTGATCAAATTTTTGTAAGCTTCTGTTCATTTGTATCTTATATGGAGTTTAGGCCGTCTAATATTAACTCTTGGTTGATTGGGTGTTTTAAGTTTGTGTTAGTGGTGTATTAAGCTTCAATTTCTTTCATGTTACTAGCCTTGATTCCCAGTGCTGTGAGTTTGAGGCTTGATGGCTTTGGTGTTGTGGGCATTAGGTCCATGGGTATTCTGAGCTTCAGCTGCTTAAGCGTTTGAGCCATTTTTCACTCTATTTGTTTTGTGCATCGAGCTTCAGATCCAAAATAATACGGAGTATTATGGAATATCCAAGTATCAGCTGGGTAAGGCCAAAAGTGGGAGGGGGCGGTAACATAGAACAATTTAAGGCTTCATGCATATGCTCAAATTCTTAGGTCTTCTCAGTCTGAAGTCAGGAGTCAGGAATTAAATTCATTGGCAGATGACTTGTAATTGCAAGCTATTGAATTAGTATATGGTTTCTAATAATCTGTTATTTTTGTACAGAGTATATTTGGACATTTATGAGAGCTGATTCTGAAGGTTTACAAGAGATCTGCAGGTTGGCTGGACATGGGAAGCTGAATGTGCCTGTCGAAAAGACATTCCCAATAGTACAAGTGAGAGAAGCCCATGAGGCCAAAGAAAAAAGGATTGTTCCTGGAAAAGTAGTGCTTGAATTTGACTGATTGCTCATGGTCATTTCTATAGCTTTGTACTGCTTTTTTTTTTTTTTTTTTCCCCCTTCCTGAGTAAGCAAAAAGAACCAAATGAAAATTTACACTGCGGACCTTGATTTCTATAAGTTCTATGAAAAAGTACACATCCAAGTGTAAATAATACTTGTGTACAAATGTAAATACTACTTGTGTTGGTGTGTCAAACCAGTAAGAGAAGGCTTTTGCAAAATACTAATGGTTGTTTTCTGTTGGCAAACTGAATATAAAGCAGTTGGTAGATCTGTTGATTATGAATGAGCCCTCAGAAGGAAAAGCAGGTTATCTGTGTATGAGCTCTCAAACAAACTTGGATCAATGTAAGACATTTTCATCTTAATATTAGTATTCTACTTTATGAATCATTCTGCCTCTAAAATTGTTTAGAATCTTACAATTGTTCACAATTTAGGAAATATTTTAAATAATTCACCAAAATAGAAGGAAATAAAAAACTTAATGAATTGTCATTTTTTTTTAAAAGTTTTTTTGACTCCTTGACAGTATTAAACTTTCATAAAAATAAAATTTAAATAAAATTTTGAATAGTAAAATTATTTTATTAATAAAAAATCATATGACGTCGAGAAAGATAATCGAATTTAACAAATACATAAGTTGAATCATATAAAAATTTTCTTCATAAAAACTATGATCGTCGATCAGATCTTGCAATGTGCAATATTTCCCATTTAGTTCGCTGGAAAATACAGTCTTGTAGTTGTGAGGATGATTTTCATTGGGTTCATTTGATCGTTTTCGAGATAACCTTTGCGACCTCGCATAATTTTTCACCCACAAAACAATTTCATGGCAATCCATCAAATCTAGCATCCCGGATTTTAAGCTAAAGAAATTCCCCATTGAAGAAGAGAAAAACCCCGTCTTTCAAATGAGAGCGCAAATTTTTTTTTTTTTTTCGAGGGTGAAATAATTATTTAAACCTAATAAATAAACAAACAAAAATTCTAAAAAAAATAAAAGTTTGGGCTTTCCACCGGTAAAAACCGATGGAAGCTCCTTCAAAAATCGACATTGAAGGCTAGGATTTTTTAAGAGAGAATAGAGGAGAGAGGAGAGAGGATAGACAAAGCAGCTTACTAAGTCTTATAAACTTAGTTAAACTTTCATAAATTTAATAAGAGTTATTAGAGGTTTTAATAATCAAATAAGTGCACTGGCAATGCCCCGGGTTAGTGACTCGAGCAATGCCCCGGGTTTGTTTCTCTTCTTCACATTCAATAATTACATGACAAATAATTACATGCATTATATCCTTTTTTAAGAAAATAAATGTAAGAATTTTATACGCACTAACCTTGAGAGCTTTGAGTGAACTATAAAGCAAATCAACCGATGGAATCTCATATTAAAATATAGCAAATCCTATATATTACACAATCATCGAACCAAATGCTACTTATAGCTTAAAACATATATAGGCCATAATTGTTTGGGTGATTTATTGAAAGTGTAAAAATATGAGTTAAAATAATATATCCACTCCATGCCAAGTAAGGTATAGTAAACAAATACTCACCTAACACAATGCTCACCCAGTAAAATGTTTCTCCATGAGGTTTAGACCAATGTATCATTTCCTTGGGTAGTTACTTTATAGGGATAAATATATTGAATACATATCGGTTACAATTTTACAAATTAAATGGGTCAAAGTAATATAAAAACATTGTAATAATTATTCAACTTTTCAATTGTGACCAAAATAAATACTAATAATTGCTAGTCTATTGGTTTGCAAGTAACACCTTCTCTTTCTTTAAATTTGAAACCAATAACTTCAATTATTTTAAGGCATAAATCAAGCACAACATTTAAATATAATAATACAATTGCAAAAGTGACGTGCGTGGCAAAAAATTAAAAGTGATGTGGCGAAATGACAAAAAAAAAAAAAATTTGACACATGACATAATGCCACTCCATGTCTTGGAGTTTTAATTATAATATAGATAAGTGCACTGGCAAGCATGCAAAATTGAAATAGGAAGAATTTTAGATATGGAGAAAGTAATATGAGATTAAATTACAAATATTCCAAACAAAATAGTGAAATTAACCAAAGGAAGAATATTCAAATATATTACTTTTGTCTCATTATACTTGTTTCATTAGATCAAAGGATGCAAAATGAGACAAGAGAGAATAGATATATGGGTGTTGTTAAATGTCGTTCGCAAATTACAAGGTGACGCTCGCATTTTTTACTTGAATTTCCTAATTTGCCCCTCGTATATAAATACTCGGGAAACTGACTTCCGAAACGCACAAGTCGTTTCACAACCCCCACACTCTCTCTCTAAAATTTTCTCTCTAAAAAAAAGTCATAAATTGTAAAAAAAAAAATCAGAAATTTAAAAAAAAAAAAAAATCATAAATTTTTTTTCAAAAAAAACCCCAAACTTTGAAAATCAAACAAAGAACAACAAACACCAATCAAAGGTTGAGTCCGGGTATGGTGGACGGGCGACGCATTAGGCTTACATACGGTGGTCGTGGGGCGGCGAGCAGGTTGGTTGTTGTTGTATTGTTTCTGATTTTGAAAAAAAAAAGTTTCGAAAAACCCAGACTTCCGCCTGAAAATTCCGGAAGTTTGGGAAACTTCCGGAAATTTCAGGCGGAAGTCTGGGTTTTTCGTAATTTTTTTTCCTGTTTTTCGTGATTAGTATATTTTTTTTATTATTTTTGAGTAATATAATTTGATTGTTATTGTTATGTATTTGTTTTTTATTAATTTCGGAATTTTTTTTTCCACGTGATTATTGATATGTAATTTTATTTTGAGTAATATAATTTTAATTGTTTTTATTGTTATTGTTATGTGTAATTGTTATGTATTATGGTTTTTATTAATTTTGGAATTTTTTTTCCTTGTGATTATTGTTATGTTATTTTTTTTGGACTAATATAATTATATTGTTTTTGTTGTTATTGTTATGTATTGTTATTGTTATGTAATTATTGTTGTTATGTATTGTTGTTATTGTAATTATTGTTGTTATGTAATTATATTGTTTTTCCTCGTGATTATATTGTTGTTGTTGTTATTGTTATTTTTTTTATTAGTTTCGGGATTTTTTTTCCTCGTGATTAATATTTTTTTGACTAAAAAAATGGATTGAAATTATTGTTGTTGTTGTTATTACCATTGTTGTTATTATTGTTGTTGTTGTTGTTGTGTTGTAATGTTGCCGATTTTGTGGTTTATTATTGTTTTGATTTGGTTTATTGTTATTGTTGTCAAATTATTATTAGTTATTATTGTTTATTTGATTTGGTTTATTATAGTTTTGAAATGATATATTTGAATTTGAATATTAGCGATTCAAGTTTGATATCATAGTTGTGTGTGTAAGTATTAATGAAATCTGATTTTGTACTTATTTAATGCAGATTGATGGTTCGGGCGCTCAACATGCAAGATCAAGACGTTTGAATGCATCAGTTAGGAGGGAGTTAGGTGGTGCAGGACCTTCGGAGGCACCGTTTCATCATGAGCAGAAGTACGGGTCTGCTGGTACTTGGTCGGGGGAGCATCAGTCAGATGGGAGCGCCCCCATGTATCTGGCAAGCACAGGGCAAACCGTGGGTGACACGCATTGCACATTCACATCGCTCATACATCTGGTAGCTCAGCTCCCTCATCCTTTTCGTCTCGTCATCGAGAACCTTCAAACAATGCTGAGACACCTTGCCGCTAATACGTGACTGTGGCAATTGTCGGTACTTCTGACCAATCTTCGACCTAGACGCCTCCAAACCGTTACGAATTGCGATGATCAGATTACCAATGTGACAATGAACTCGGGCCCGTACAATATCCTAAGAACCTGCACATTACAAACAAACCGTCTAGAGTGATAATAAAAATAACAATAAAAATAACAATAATAACAACAACAACAACAACAACAATAATAATGATGTTGATGATGATAATAATAATAATAATAATAATAATAATAATAATAATAATAATAATAATAATAATAATAATAATAATAATAATAATAATAATAATAATAATAACAAAAAAAATCATAACAATCATAACAAAAAAAATCATAATCATAACAATAAAAATATTAATATTAATCAATAACTACATCAAAGTCCAAACAACGAACCTGTCGAAAATTCAAACCACATCTTCACGGCCAAATGTTGGCTCTCAACTCTACAAGTGCCGGTGTTTCCTAGATGAAGAACTTGGTTTGTCCAGAATGTCACAAACTTCGTTTTATGACAAAGCCATGTTCTCTGAACATATTGTATCACCGCTGGATAACTTGCCCACCCATCTTTCATTGTATCTACAGTAGCATCATAATCCTCCTCGGTTGCAGCATCCATGATACGTTTCCATTTCCCATTTTTGAATTGCGCACCGATCTTCTTGTTTTTGAACATAGCAGTGACCCGAGCCTCCACATCTTTGTTAATGTGCCATCGACAAAGTAAGTGCGGGGTCCCTGGAAACACTTCCCTCAAGGCCGCACATAGCCCAAGCTCACGGTCTGACAAGATAACCGACGGTTCCTTATTATACCCAATCAAGTCTCTCAATCTCTGCAAAACCCATCGATAGCTTGCTGTGCACTCGTTGCACATGAACACGTAAGCAACGAGGAAATTCTGATTTGTCAGTATCACACCAACTATCTTAAAGAACGACATCCCGTATCGATTGGTCTTGTACGTAGAATCCATACCGATCACATATGGGTAGTCGAAAGATTTCTACCGTGACTGGGTGCGCCATATAGGCGTGCTGTAAAACACTTTCATCATCAGACATGACCCAGTAAAGATACTAACTCTGTCTCGCCAAATGTAGAAACTACTGAATAAATCCTCTCCCGTTAGATATCTTCGATCTCAGGTCATTCCGACAGTTGTAGATATGTCTGATGTTTGGATGATCATCAGGAAACTGCTCGGCAATAGTCGCCATGATGTTACGCGGTGCAACCTTAGACTTCATCATCTCACGCACAACCTGCTTCGCATCCGGGCTCAACCCACTAATTTTATGATGCCCCTCTGGATACGCAATCATTGGATGGTTGTGGGTCCCAGTTTCATCATTTTTTGCCCGGATAATCCAACTGTCGGTGATGAACTCGTAGTATATCTTGATGTAGAAAGGACAACCATTAGCTTTGGTTTTTGTGTCCTTCCGAATTGCGTTCTCAAGATCTCTTGGCTTACTCCTGCGTCCCCGATCACATCTCAAATACCGATATGGTCGACCATCTCTGTTTTTGTTGAAAGACGATTTCACCAGAATAAATCTCAGATTTATGGCAACAGCATCCG